ACCCTTGCTCAAATGTGCCAACCATCAAGTGTACCACCTTGTGCACGTGTGTTAGCATATTTTCACAAACATTTTCAAGGGTGTTAGCACTCACTAGAATCTAAATGCATATGCAATGAGTTAGAACATCTAGTGGCACTTTGGTAACCGTATTTCGATACGAGTTTTACCCCACTTAATAGTACGGCTATCTATCATAAATGTGATCACACCCACTAGGTGTCTTGATCACCAAAACAAAATGGCCCTATGGATATCACATTTGCCTTGAGCCCATTTTGTTTTTCTCTTTCTTCTTTTCCAATCCCGAGCACTTGTCATCACCATGGCTATCACCACCACCATCATGATCTTCACCATTTGCTCCACCACTTGGAATGTGTTTCCCTATTCTCATGATCACTAGAGCAATAGGTTAGTGTTAACAGTCGTTAACATCAATCATACACCATTAACATAACTTGTATAAATGCATAAAAATGATCACCAATATAGGTTTAGGGGTTTAAACTGACAAATTCCACGAGTTTTAGTGAATCTGTGTTTTCAGCAGGGTTTATCCAGAAAACCGTCAAGGTGGACCCATTCATCAAAGTAAATCATGTTTTTCTACGACGGTACCTACTTGGGAAGACTCTAGAAGACACTAGAAGACTCTCCACCGAAGATCGGGCCAAGACGCTGATAAGGGGGTCGGCCAGCCCCACCAGCAGGCTGGCTGGCTTGTGGCCCCCTGGTTAGCCTCCCCTTTGAATGTCGGTTCTCCACCGCCTCCTAGATTGCATCTACGCCGTCCTTTTAAGTCGGTTCATCCAACGGTGATCGAGGGAGTTGACGCGGATCGATGATGTGGCAATGCCTTGCCCCCTACTCCATCTCCCCTATATAAGGCGCCCCCTACCCCCCTCCCTAGAGCCATCCTAAAACCCTAATTCATATCCTCATCTTAGGATCAGGGCATCGCATTCAAGAGAGATTAGTCCTCTAGTTAGGATCTATTCTTTGTACACTAATAGAGAGAGAGAATTAGGGAAGAGTTTGGAGGAAGTACCGGCCTGTCAGTGCTACCTCTATGGCTTGTACTTTGGCGGATCTATGCTTCTCTAAGTCTACATCTAAGATACCTCTAGTAATTGATTTATGTTGAAAGTAAGTTTTGTGCTCTTTTGTTCATGGGTTCACAGTTTTTTGAGTGCTCTAGTCCTTGTTAGATCTCTGGATTAGAGTAGTAATCGTTAGCATAAGTGTGGTGCTTAGGCTATCGGCTACCTGTGTTTGCTCCCTGCTTCTTGGTTGTGTGGTAGCAGTGGGAGGTGACAACCCCGTCTATCCTTTGTAGTCCACGCCGAACTAAGCAGGTTCATAAATTAGTAGGACCGTAGTCACGTCGGTAGAGTTATCTATTAGCGGTGCTTTATCATCTAAGCGGCGTCCCGAAGTGAACACTAGAATCATAAGCCTTGCTTTGCATAGGGTCATAACCATAGGAATTCTCTTTACTCATACATTAAACCTTGATTGCTATCCCTAGATGAACTAGTGTTTAGACAACATACACACGTTTCCCTGTGGATACGATACTCGATAATATTTTGGGTGAAAACTACTTCGATACCCATGCGCTTGTGGATTTTATCTCTATGTGCCTCCACAGGTGTCAACAGTTAGCACTTAGGGTTTCATCAATTCGCCAAAACCAAACTAGAGCTTTCAGCGGGGAGGTGGAGTACTGTGCTCTCAGGTAGCGCAGACCGGTTCACGTTTTGGAGGATCCGAGTGAAGGTTGATATATGTAGGTCTAGGACCTGCATATGTCGTGTGGTAACGAAACCCTAGCTGGCCCTAATCGATTCGAATCGTCATTTGCTCTACGGTAACAGGAGACTTGATGCTTGCACCATCATCGTAGTTAATCAATGGAAACATGGTGACTTATGGAAATGAGAAAAGATGAGATGAGATAATTAATGAATTGATTGATTTAGAACAGGTGCAAACTGGATACCGATAAAGACTTAATATGAAGCTAAAATATTGAAAGTAAGGATCCACTTATAGTAAGCTTTTCTGCAAAAGTTATTCTAGCTTCTAACTTTTCTTAAGTCTGTATGCCCTTTGAGTCTTTTCTTTAGTCGGGTAAGACTTGTTGAGTATCCTCAAGTACTCAGGGTTTGTTAACCTTTGTTGCAGGTTCTAACTTGTGCTGCTAATCGAGGTCATGTCGGTGGGCTCGACATGATCTGGCTGCCTCTTCTACCTTAGGTGTTCCACCTAAGTTGCTTCTGTAGTACTACTCACCTTTTGAAACTTAAGTTAAGTTTTTACTTCAACATGTTTTGTAACCTAATGTTAATAAGTCTTCTGCACTCTGATGTAAGATATTTTTGTACCAAATGTTGTAATGTTGTGGTCACTCCATGTTGATCCTGTATGAGTTGTAAAAATGTGGATGATTTGGGGGTTCCCCGAGGACACCCAACAGACTACCGGAATTATCTGGCTCTCGTGTGTAGCAGTCAGAGGTCTTTAGGACAATGACAGGTGCACGTGGGCCATATAATTTGGGTGGTTCTGCCACAAAACCCCCCTTCACCCATGATTTTGGTCGTTGTTGGTGATAGCCTGGGTGATCACCACCAGTTGTGAGGCTAGCGGTGGTATTGTTCATCACCACTGGATCAGCGTATAATATGCCGGTGTTGTCGGTTACCTTCACCGTCGCGTCAGAGCTCGATCTGGAGGATGAGGAAGAGCCGAAGAGGAGCAGGACAGCGGCGATGAGCAGGAGGGGGAGAATGATTGCAGCGACGACGACGATGGACAATGGGAATGAGAGTCCCAACGATGACAGCGGGGACGAGGAGGAGGAGGATGATGAGGAAGGGGTTCATCCGATTGACTTGCAGGCAATTCCGGCAGTGAGATACTAGTGGAAGCTGAAAGCATTCGACCAGGCTTGCAATGCTAAGGACTATGGTGGCGACATAACTTCCCAAACGCTTCACTTCCACTCCAAGCTCCAGTATCAGCTGTTCTAGGGTATCTTTGATAGGAGGCCGATGCATGTTAAGCAGTAATGGGTCAATTGGACCTATCTTGAGAAGCATCCACAGATGGCACCGATGGTTGAGATGTTCAGGGTCTTGGGATAGAGAAGGGCTATGTGTCTCAAGCAGAACTAGAATGAGGCTCTGATCCGGTAGTTTTATGCTACACTGGAGGTTCGGATGGACAAGGAGAGGCTCTTTTGGATGACGGGCACAATGTTGCACAGCTTCCAGTGCCCCGCACTGGCTGTTGCGAATGTCGCCGAGCTCTTGCGACTTCCCACACTCCAGCAACCATGACAAGTAGGGAGGCGCATGTGGCAAACATCACTATGCAATGGCGACAAGGAGAGAGAGAGAGAGAGAGAGAAACCAACAAAACGGCGAGGACGGGTGTTGCACTAGGGTTGGGCTAAGGGGGGCTTTCGAGAACACTGTCAATTCAATGGGGATGTTCTAGAAAACGGGGAGACTACCAATTCTTTACTTCTTTGCATTGAAATAAAATTTATATCAAGGTATTGGTCATAAAATATCCAAATACAGTTACTTTTTAGAGAGGGCTTGTTGGACAACATATTGATTTCCTAAAAGTTAGAGGCACTTTTTTACAAAACATGCAGAGACAAGCATCAGCGCACAGAAGAACCACCAATCAGCTTGTTCGGCTGGTGCTGATACGACCGTATACGATCGTGGATTATTACTGCTAGCTGGTTTGGTGTGAGAGAAAAATATTGTTCTGGCTAGAAATTTACGATCGTTTACGATCAAGTGAACGGGCCGAATGCTCCGAATGCTCTCCTACGAGCAAGCGGCAGTAGGTTTTAATAAATCTAATACGAAGATTGTTGTGTGTTCAAGAAAAAAATATTGTCAAGAATCCTTCAAAGAAGAAAATAATATGCATCTTGAGTTTAGGAACATTGGATCTAACCAAAGTTCAAAAAAAACATTGGATCTAACCAATCTTCATCACGCATGGTAATAGTTGCAACACAAAAACAAGTCTTAATCAATAATGGAAGAGATAAAACCAGGATCAGTCCTCATTAGATGCAGTGTGTGTGGAACAGTGGAAGTATTCCTAGCAGGATTACAATTTTCCTGCGGTTCCTTTGACATAATATCATTTGTGTTGAGGCCATCTTTAAAAGACAGTGGCCAAAGGATGTGTGAACTCACATTGCATCCCATGCTATCATCATGGAATTAAGTGTGCCTTGAACTTTAGCCATTATTTAGTTTCCATTTATCTTGTCACACAAACATGAATCAGCTACACGGACTGATATTTTTTAGACCAAAGACCATTGTTCCCGCTTTATAGAAAGCAAAGTTTTGAGTTTGCTGGGATAACCAGCTTACAAGAGAAGCATTACAGTGCTCAAGGCACTTCCCCTCTAAACGGAAACAGAAATAGAACGAGGAACCAAAAGAAATACCGACCAGAAGAGCATCAGGACATTATAGCAAACTTTTTTTTAGGAAAAAAAAAACTACACAGCTTTCACTGATCTCTTGATTGCACCAAGTGTCGTGATAATCTCTGTGTCGTCGTCATTGACCAACTTTTCTCTTTCTACTTCAGCAGGATGTTCCATTTCTGCATAAAAATTATCGAGCGATGTACCAAAACATCAGGGTGGGCAATGATTTTATTGTTAAAAACATAGTCATTACAGGTTAACCAAAGACTCCAAGTTATATAAGCTAACAGAAAGATCAACATGGATTTGAGAACATCCCCTTCCTTACTACTAAGCTCAAAGAACTGGGTTAAGTTTGTTGGAAGAGCTACACGGCCTGGTACTCCTGAGGCTATGCAGAAACAAATGTATTCTCATATATAAAAAGAGTTAAGTGTAACACTGCTGTCCTTAAACATATGAGGACAACTGGACAAGTGAAACGAACTGTTGAATCTAGACAGAACCTGGGTACATATTACTCCTACTCTGCAATTTGTGAAGGACGATAGCACTATAAGAAAACAGACACCATATACTCAGCATAAGAGACTACGAGTACAATAAAACAAAGATTTACCATTTTTTTTTAATCTTCCGCTTATATGTTATCATAACCAGTTCCACTTGAACAAGAACCTCTAGTCAGGGGCTCAAATTGTTACCTACTAAAGAAGTGGGCCATGGCATGAAGTAGGGATGAGCATGGCCATCAGCTTTTACATAAAAGAGCTTTTCCAGCTTCCTTGTTTCCAGGCAGAAGGATAGGTACCAACAAGGCAAAGTAGCATCTCTAAATGTATCAAATGTCGTCATGTACACAATTCCGTCCCGAATTGCAAACACTTTAAGCTGTTCAAGTTCATCCCGTTCGCCCTCGGTGGCCTCAAGAACCTCTTCCTCCATCTGCAACACATTTTGAAGCACCCACTTGTCAACACCATCAGCATCTTGTGTCCGGAACCAAACGAAGAGTGTGAAATCGATCGCGGCCACGATGCAGAGCTTCCCATCCTTTGTATCCCCAGTCCTGTAGAGCAGTAGAGGTGGCCTTGCCCACTCAAGCCATGCGGCAGATCGATGACGGAGAATTGCAGCGTCGCAGTGTCCAGCATCACCTTGTAGGCATTCTTATGGTACGACCAGCACAGGAACCCATTCACCTGATTCCCCGAGAGAAGCCAGTACTTGCCGCTCGCCGGCTGTGTCGGCACAGGCCGCCAGGGGAGGATTTGCCACTTCCTGGTGGCCGACGAGAAGACGGCGACGCGCACCCGAGACTTGTCGTGGCAGGAGGTGACCACGCGGAACGAACGCCTGTCGGGAGCCTCGTCGTCGGGGACGACCAGGAAGAAATCACCGGAGATGAACTTGCCGTGAAGGTGGGGTTTTCGTTGCCGTCGGGGTTGAAGAAGAAGCCGAGGAGAGGGGGCGGGTGCAGCGCGCGGAAGCGGCGGCGGAAGGCGGGGGAGGAGCGGACGGCGGCGAGGAAGGCGCGGCAGGTGAGGGCGGCGCGGACGAGCGAAGGGAGGGACGGGAGGCCGGTTTTTGGACAGGGCTTCAGTTGTTGGATGGGTTCGCCGTCGGTAGGTGGACAATTTGATTTGGAAGGAATGGGCTTCAGTTGTTGGATGGGCTGGCCGTCGTTGCAATTAGTCTAGATGATGTCCTATGTAGGAAATCAGGTACGATACAAATTCAGCATACATCTCCAAGGAGAGTTATACCAAACAAGCCTCATCAGTTTATAGCTCTAGCAAACATTTAATCTTATCCGATCTAAAGAAACTCTTAGCTATTTTAGACTTATGTGGTAGTGATGAGTATTAGGGCTTCTCCAGTGGCCAAAAGAACAACGACAGCTTACATGGTTTCTCTTGAGTCGGCTCAACTGCTGCAGGAAAATTGCTGCATCAACTTCTTGCATCAGACCCATTGGCCGTAAACAACTGTAAGAAAAATTGTTTGCTGCTTTGCGGGAGAAGCCATCTGCATGGAGTTGCACAAGATTGATGAGTCGATTTGAAGAAAGCGATTCTTGTGCATGCACGGCAGCTTTTTTCGGATGATGAGTCGACTCACCAGTGGCGATGCCCTTAATTCTAGAATTGAGAAGGTGGTGTTAACTTGAAGAGATAGAATTTTTGAAGTACTCCCTCCATCTACAAAAGCATGCAACAATGGTATTTGTGTAAATCAAATTAGCTTAGCTTTGAACAAGTTCATAATGAATAATATTAATATTTATGTCTCCAAGTAAGTTTACTATAAAAATATGTTTTATAATTAATTTAATAATCTTTATTTTGTAATCATGAGTGTTAATATCTTTTTTATATAATCGTTTGCTTGAAAGTAAGAGTTGTGTCCTCTCGTGGACGGAGGGAGTATGTGTGTAGTACCACCGAATTGTTGATGTCAGTGCCTATGCAATGATCTGCTTGTGCTTTGCTGGAAAATGACAAAGAAACATTAGGATCCAAAAAAAAGAATGTAGAATTGAAGATATGTTGGAGCAAATTGGCCTACAAAAATCTGTATCGTAGCAATCTCAGAACGTTCTCCTATTTTTTCAGACATGCATCTTATCGTACTCCTTGTCAACTTCATCGGTTAGTTGCTGACAGGCTAGGTTTCGGGTCTGAAAAGAAAAAATTAACTTCCTACATATGCTAGAGCAAACAAGACACCAGAAGCAAAGAAAATGCATTATCTACTGACGTCAAGGTCTGAACCTCTAATAATTCTGGGTTCAGTCATAAATGGATTCATTCATCGGTAGGTTGACTGTCAATAAAGATCTGCTGATGAACTGTAAGGATTGTTGGACACATTTTCATGAGCACGTTTTGAAGTGGGCTACCACTAGTACACCACATGCATCTACTGAACTGTACTCCTATGTATTATTTACCACATTTTCATTAGTAGTACTAGTACAGGAGCAGCAGAAGGCAATGATGAGCGTGATACATGCATAAGCCTGTTCGGTTGGCTGGTTCATATCGTTGCTGGTTCGTTTACGTAAGAGAGAAGTACTGCTGATTGATTCAGATAAACAGTGTTTTTGTGAGGGGGCTGGCCAGCCCAGCCAGCCAGCCAGCCAGCCTCAGCCGATCACGCGTGCTGGGACATGAGCGCGACCAACTGTGCGCAGAGATATTGAATCTCGACAGGAGCGTGCTGATTGTCAAATGGTTCGAGAATCGAGATGCAGTGAGGCGTCAGCGCCCAACATTGTAATGTTGCCTGCTAATCATAGTCGATTGCCTGCTAATTAAGTTCTTTCCTCTGAGCTCCTTTGAACACTTGGAGCGATTGAACAAAGAAATTCTAATGTACTTACACACTTGGGTGCTGTTTGTTTCGACGTTTTCCACCCCGTAACTGTTTACGCTGCTATTAGTTCCCGTTGCTACGTGTTTGTTTCAGCGGCAGTGGAGCCGTTCACGGAGGAATCGAATCCGGATACGTGAAACATCGTTACCGCGCCCACCTCCAGGACTTAACTGTCTACGCCGAGCAGCGGAAATGGATAAAGGATATCTTATAACCAACCAAACAAAATAACGTTTGCCATTGCATGCAACAGGTAGCGGCGGAACTTGTTTCCATTTACGTTACTGCTCGGTATCTGGAACCAAACAGCACCTTGGTGTGATTTGGCCCATTTGAAGCTGGATTGCTGGTGGTATCTCTACTTCAATCGCTCATGAGTGCGTCTCTAGTGATTAACACTGGTACCTGGCTGCTGGTATGGCCACCCTGCTAGCTGGCATATATTGCCGCATGGTGATTAGTACATTGCCCATATAGCTTCAGTGACGACTAGCCGAGATTTCTCTCTGAGCCAAAAGCAACGCGGCTTGGCAAACCGCTGCTGATCTTATCCTCCAAAGACCAAAATCATCGTCATTTGGCCCTCCCCCCACGCCGAATTGTCGTCTCACCGGTCGACTTCTTCGGCGGGGGATTGGATCGCCTACTCCCAATTAATGCAAATGCCATCTACTTCCTCGCGTGGATGTGGATCACAAACCATCATCACCGCCTAATTGGTCAATCCTTGAGTTTTTGTTGGATTAGAAACCATCATCACCGCCTAATTGGTGTAGTTGAAGGGCAGCTAGCTCGTCATATTATATTTAATTAAAAGGTTAGGCCTAGTGGGTAAGTCCCTGTGGATAAATTTTGAAAGATAGAAGGCTAGCCTTTGCATTTGCGAATGGAGAGAGTAACGGTACTATATATCTATAAATTATTGGATCAGCCCTAAACTAGAGAATGAAAATATGCTAGTTCTCGTCCTCGGCACCACAAACTAAAGGACGAAAGTATACTAGTTCTCCCTACTACACAACTATAGTAAAGAACCTTAAGAATTTGAACGGCAACAGTAAAAAGAAGCTATTCAATATAGTCTGAGCAACTATTCGGCTGGGAATCTATCTCCTTATCACACCAGGTACTCCAATATATGCATAAATACAAAACAAAGGTAGAGAAGCAATATCTTCAGAGGGAAGTTATGTGCAAGGGCATAAGAATCTATCAAGGAACAATAATGCTCTTTTCAGGGCGTCCGTCCGTCCGGATGTCGCGCTTCCCAGTCCGCGCTGCTTGCTCCCGCTCGTCGTGCTCCCTGCCTGTGACGCTCGCTGCCGTCCGCGCCCGCGACGCTCACTTCCACCATGCTCACCCGCCGCGAGCACCGTACCCCGTATGTCGCGACGTTTCTCCAGCGCAGGGGCGCCACGCCACGGGCACCGCACCGTGTCTACTGCGGCTTTCTCCAGCACAGGGGTGCTGCACCCGCCCACCCGTTGCACCCCCCCTCCCACTTAGCACCGGCGTTGATCTCTGTGCCGGCATCGAGCTCTGCGTGCCGATGAGCCTCCATTTGTCCAAGCAATAAGTAGATGTTGTACTAAAAACGTATGTTGCAAGCGTATGTTTCAAGTGTATATTCCAAATGTTTCATCTGTTTCAGACGTATGTTGTAAGTGTTCCATTTGATGTTGCAAAAGTAGATCTAGATGTTGCATATATATATATATATGCATGTGTTTTATGTGTTTTCATACGTATGTTGCAAGTGTTTCATCTAAATGTTTGCATATGTTTGCAATGGCTACACACTTTTAAGTTTTTTCTGGTGTTTTGCTAGTGTTTCAGCAGTTTTGGACGTATATTGCTAGTGTTTCATCTGGATGTTATAAAAGTAGATCGGATGTTACACATGTTCTGGGGCGCCGCTGTGGGTCACCGTGCGGGCGCCTAAGGCTGGCAAATGCATCCGCAACGTGGCATCCACAACCGAGCGCAGGTGACTGGGACCCACGTGGGTTCCTGCGTGTGGACGCGGTGGTCAAGCGAAACAAAGCGAGCGTGATGGTAGGGCGGTACGTAGCGTGGGGCCTACACGGTGGGGTACGCGAAACCAGACGGAACGGCCTCCGGCGCGAAGGACCGGAGGCATCCGATATTTTGGAGCGCCTCCGGACGGTCTGGCGCTAGTAACACCCCACCAGGAAACAACTTGTGATGAACAAAGAGGACAAACTAGTTACTTGCTGTCACATGGCAATTTCTGTAATTTACATCGATGCCATAAATGGCATATCATGTGCATGTCGCTCCTCAAACCATGGCATTATTGCTTTTCACCTTCTTTTCTTTCCCCTCACCCCTCAGCATGTCATTTCATTTCCCCTCAGCATGTCGCGGCTTCAATGTTTGAGGACTTTGCATGGCAGATAATGAGATAAATCTGGGGTTCCGTAGCCTCAACTAAATTTCTACACAGAATTTATTCCCTCATCAACTACCCTTTGCACTCTTGCACTAAATCCAACCCCTCTCTTCCATCCTATTTATATCCTTGCTTTCCATCTGAAGAAGCGAGTTCTCCTGCTCTCCTATCCTATTCCCAAACAAATATGCAAACAAATAAGGCAGAGAAGAAATTATCAGATATGTTAGTGAAAAATAGTGTGCAATGGAATTAGGGAAACTAGCTATTGCTTGAGAATGGGTGGCAACAGGAGTAGTTCTACAGCGTCGGAATTCATGCTCCAACTCACACTATTTTGTACTGCTTGAAATGGAATTAGGGAAACTAGCTATTGCTTGAGAATGGGTGGCAACAAGAGGAGTTCTACAGCGTCGGAATTCATGCTCCAACTCACACTATTTTGTACTGCAACAAGTCTTTCTTCTGTCTCAGTTCTTGTGCAAGAATAATGGTGAAATTTAGTTGCTAGCTGGGCTTCCATGTCTTGTGAATGAAAAAGTATATAAAGAGGATGCAAGAAAGAAAAAAAAACTCTAATGGAGTATATGGTTTTTACATGAAGATAAGACAATGAACCATGCCATAGATTAAATTACATCTTGGGATACAGGTTCATGTGTTCTGCTACTTGTTTTGTTTGAACATCAAAGACCAGCAACAGGGCCAACAGAACTGATACAAGAAAAAGTAATGTAACTTGGGATATGTTAATGGAACTAAGTGTCCAGATAAATACTTGGGCGTCGTTTGGATATGCAAAGTATTTTCGGAGTACGTATCGGATAAATGTTATGTTTTTTGCAAAATGCTTTAGTTTTCAAAAGTTGTTGGATGTTTGGATACAATAAATTTTGCATTCTCTAAAACCATGGTTTTGTCAAACTCAGTCTTTTTGAAGTTTTAGAAACTCCTTTACGACCTCTTTGTTCTTAACCACGGTTATGTCTTTGACCTATAAAATCACAAGTTTCTAAAACTACATCAAAACAGGCCCCTTAATCTTTCAACAGATTATAGTTGACAGTATCTATATTAAAACCAGTTGCATATATATATTTTAAATTCATTGTGGCAACCTTGTTTTTGTTTTGTTTTTGCAATAAATACTTTCATATTGTGATGCTTTTGATCCTTATTTCGTA